GGCATCTCATTAAATAAATTATGCTAAAGTCACCCACTGGAATACCATGCTGACGAAAATAAATGAGGAAGCTTTATGTCATGTGCTGATAGGACAGATGCTCAAAACATATTATTGGTGAAAAAAGCAAGGTAGGGAACAGTTTGTATGATATTATCTCAATTCAATTAAAAAAGAATATATGGGCCCTGAGCAGGTAACTTGGTTGGTTGCAGGATTGATCCCTGGTCAGGGCACATGCATACAAGAATCAATCAATAAATACATAGATAAGTGGAACAACAAATCAATGTTTCTCTCTCTCCTTCCTCTAAAATAAATTTTAAAAAGAATAAATGCATGATGTATGTTTCTACTTATCTACATTCTCGTAGAGTCTTTTTAAAATATATTTTTATTAATTTCATAGAGGAAGGGAGAGATAGAAACATCAATGAGAGTGAACCATTGATTGGCTGCCTCCTGCCTGCCCCTTACTGGGGATCGAGCCTGCAACCCCAGGCATGTGCCCTTGAACGGAATTGAACCCGGGACCCTTTGGTTCGCAGGCCAATGCTTTATCCACTGAGCCAAACCAGCCAGGGCTTGTAGAGTCTTAAAAACTTCTGACAGACTGAGAAGTTTAACAATGGTTTAATTGTTATAGGGGGAAGTGAGAAGGAAGGAAGGAAGGAAAGAAGCACTTGGTTTTTTATTTTATCCCTGTAGTAGTGGTTGAGTTCTTTTTCACTATGTGTAGGTATTACTTTTGTCATAAAAAAAATAAGTGGGACATTGACTTTTGTGTGTGTGATTTTTTATGTATTTTTAAAAATCAGGTGATCCTTTAAAATCAAGCAGTTAGTGTCTGTTTTGATTGATTCTATTCTCTTTGGCGTTTCTTCCCCCCGCCCCTCCCCCCCCAATAATAAGAGCCAAAATGTATTGAGTGTGTTGTATGAGTCAGGCACTCTTCCCTCCCTGCTTTTCCCCCTAAAGTGCCAACTCTTCCAGTCCTTCATGTGACATTCCCAGTAATAAGCTGGGATCATGCCACCATCAGGGGTCAAGAAAATTAGTCAGCCAAATGGGCCCGGAGGGGGTAAGCTGAGCCTGTGATGTTAGGGGAAGAGGTGTCAGGACTCCATGCTTGTTCTAGATGATTCCACCTCCCTCTGGTCAACAGGGAGCAGAAGTGGCAAAATCCTCTCTTTAAAAGATGCTAGTTCAGTGAAAAGTTGCCAGCTCAAGCCTGCGCAGTCTTATTCGATTCCTATTTTGCAGTGCCTTGGGGGAAACTGAGAATGAAAGTGACCTTGAGCACACTAAACACAGCTGGACTATTTACTATGTTCACTCCTGGTCTGTTCCTTTCTCATCCTACCCTGAAACGGTCCTTTTGGCTTCTATCAAACAGTTCCAGGTTTACCTCCATGCCAAACTCAGCCTTTTATGGATCTACCTACCAGAGGGTTCTAAACCACAGTTCGGAAGTGATCTGGGGAGAAAGGAGCGGTGGGTGAGGCATGAGCCCGGGAGTTGTGGTCTGACTGGCTGTGGAGCCTTTACTGTAGACCCGCCCCCACTCTGTGGGAAGCTGTTTGTTTGAGTTGGGTGGAAGCCAATCAGATGCGCTGGCTCAGGGTGTCCTGGCCCAGGAGACAGGGGTTATTTGTCTTCTTTGTTTGTCCTCTCTGCGAGGAGGGAAGGGCTTAGAAACAGGGATGGAGCCGAAGGGAAAAGACAGTCAATCAAGTCCATGGGGCGAGCTCCTATTATTAGATCTATAGTCAAAACCCTGGCGCTCTTCCAACTTGGAGGGTCAAAGAGAGGAGTGGACGAGGGATTATTGAAAAAAGCAGCAAGTTCTAGATTTGACTCAACAGCTGCCTTCTGCATAGTCTTGGGCAAGTCCCTCTCCCTTCCATCTCCTCTTCCTCTGGAGGAGGCTAAGCATCCTGAAGTTCCCTCCAGTTCTGAAACACAAAACTCCTGGTGTGGGGTTGCTCAGCAGAGATGAAAGAAGGCTAAGAGGCCATTTGAAGCTCAGAACATTTCTAAATGGCTGTTAACGGAGGGAGTCCTCCCTCGGCATTGATAGCAAACAAAAAAGAAATGTGCTTGCTTATTCTGGGTGTTGGAAAGGTTCTGTGTCTTGATGGGGGAGCGGGGTAATTACATGGCGTGTGCACATGTCAAAATGAATTGAGCTGTGCATTTTGTTGCCTGTAAATTACACCTCATTAGAAAGGTTTTTAAAATGAGCTTGAACTCCAATAGGAGTTTAGACTTCAGAAAAAACTTCCTCACAAGAAAGACTTGAGAGAAGTGAATTTCTACCCAGGTAAGTTCTCTTGAGAACTTTAAGATTATGTACCTATGCTGAAAGAGGAGGTAGGGAAGTAGGGAAAAAATAATATGACCACTCTTTTGGAGAGCTTCCCCAAATCCTTCCAGCCTCAGACATTCCCATATCATGTCCCTTCCTGGCTGTCTAATTTCCATCTCCCCTATTGCAATTCTAACCACACACTCTTCCCTCTATGGAGCCCAGCCTCACACAAGAGCTCTTTAAAGCCTTGAAGCTTACAGTATTGAAGGAGACCCCATTTCAACCTTCTCACTGACCATTCTCTGCCCCTCACCTCATTCTGTTCCCCTTGGGGATGTCAGTTCCTGTTCTAAGCCCACCCCCACCCAGACCCTTTTCCGGTGGTGTGTGCCAGCCGGTCCTGCGTCCCACATCCCCAGCTGTTGACATTTTATTGCCATTACCCAAAGGATAAAGAAAGGGCCCCTGTTGTTTCAACAATGGGGGAAAGACGGGGACAATGGGAAATTGTGCTGCTGATGGGGTGGGGACAGAGAAGGAAAGGACAGACAGATAGACAGATGGGGGGCTGGACAGAAGGGGTCAGGTTTCTGGAAGCAGCTGGTTCCCACCTTGAGAGCCTCTTCCCATAGGCGATGCGCACCCAGGCACCGGAGGGCAGAGGTGAGGACTTTGTTGGGAAAGGAGGAGGGGAGGGGTGCTCCATTCCCCCACCGCTCTTCTGGGTTTTCTAAGTTCCGGCCTATCATGGAGTTAGTGCCCATAAAGCCAAGATTGTTGGCCCAGCAGCTTAACCTGCAGATGAGGCCCATATGGAAAAATGCAGGCATCGGGAGCTTGACCGCTTTGGACCTTTGAGCCTCATTCCTATGCCTATTGGTCCAATATCCTCATACCCACCAATCAATACCCTTCTCTGGTCCAAGAGCATCTAGATGAACCGGGGCACCTCACTCTCTGTACTCTTCCAGGTGGTCATTTCTGGTTGCCTCCTTTTCTCCATACCCCTTAATGGGTCCCTGTCCCATATCCCACACCCGTATCTTCCCCAGGGCCCAGGGCAGTGAGCACGGCAGCTATAGTGCCTGGTCACAGGGCTGGACATGGGTCACTTACCCTGGCTCAGTGGAATAATGGATCATGGAATTCTTGGACCCTTGGCTTCTTCTGTGAGCTCAGGGCAGCAGCCTTTCCTCAAAGGTGCAAAAGGCGCGACTACACTGACCAGATGCCTAAGTCCAGGGCTCTGAGGTGCTTGGACCTCCCAGTGGCAACTCCTTCACCTGGAACCTCTTCCTCCAGCAGGACAAAAAGCTGCCAGTCACTGCTCCCTCCATCGCTGTGAAGAGACCAGCTTTTAACAGGTAGGTGCTGGAGCTGTTGCTGCCTTCTCTCATTCTCTGTAAGGAGTATGAAGATGTGTGTGCGCTTGCTCTAAAACACAGAAATATAGATCAGTCATTAAGAAATTAAGCGTCAGTCAGATCCTGATTCAAATCCCAGAGAACCCCTCCTCTCACAAGCTGTTTGACTTCACTCAAGTTTACTAAAATGTATGCACCTTTGTGTGAGTATATAAAATGGGGTTCAATCATCGTTCCTACCTTGTAGGATTGCTGACAGGTGTAAATATAAGAGTACACATGTAAAGTGCATAGGGCCGTCTCGGGCACGTTAACGCTAGCTATTACTATTGGTCCCTCAGTGAGTCCGCCCCCACTATCACTCTGCTTACCAGGTTCTCCTGTACTGAACTGGTTCTCTTGCTCGTGTCCCTGTCCCAGATACTCTCCCGATTAGCCACGGGGAAGTCCTTTCTGTGCCTAACCTCCATTTCTCCTTCTGCAAGGTCGTCTTTGACCTTCATTTGCAGAAAGATGGAGCTCAGCTCCTAAGCCTTCTGACTCCTCCTCAGTGTTTTCTCCCTCTCTCCATGTCCCAGCTCTCCTTCCCAGAAGGCCTGCATATGAGCTCACTCATTAACACACAACACACATTAATTTAGTACCTACTGCATGCCAGAAACTATGTTGGGAGCTGCAGAATGAGCAAACACATACATAGCACTACTGCATATCAGGCACTATTTTAAGCAGTTTATCTATATTATTTTCATCAAATCCTCACAACTACTCAGTAAGGGAGGTGCGCATTATTATCCATATTTTACTAACGAGGACATTGAGTCAGAGAGAAGTTAAGTAACTTGTTCAAAGTCATGCAGTTAGGAAGTGGAGGAATCGGATTTTTAAAATGAATAAAACTAGGTTAAGGGGTCCTCAGTTTTAAAAATAAATATCAAGGTGATGAAGAATAGATACAATAAAGGAGAAAAAGAACTACTGAAATAGACAACTGTGTTTGAAATATTTTTTATAACTATATACTTTATAATTACTGCAAACCTTACTACATATACATATGTATTACTTTCAAATTCACACAGCTGACTTAGCTGCTGATAAAAGTACTTCTAAGGGGGGGGGGGAAATCCCCAATCCAGTGCAGTAGGGGAACCAGGCAAGTGGATCACAGGGCACCACAGTGTGGTGAACTGGGGGAAGAGAAAAGGCTTCCCAAAGGAGGTGAGAGTGAACTTGGACTGTTCTGGAGCCAGAAGTCCAACATGTGTGGAGCGCAGTGCAGAAGGCACAGGTGGCGAAGTGCAGGGAGAGACTCAGGTGGCGAAGTGCAGGGAGAGACTGGATCACACAGCAACTGGGCTTTATTCTCAGGACAACAGGGAGAGACTGTTAAGCAGGACACATTTACTCTGGCTTCAGATGGCAATGAGTGTGGGAGAGGATAGAGACTGGAGCTGACAATCCAGATGGCAAGAGTTGGGAAGTGGCACTTGTGATGAGAAGGGGATAGGTAGAGGACCTGCTGACTGAAGGGATGGGAGAGGAAGCAGGATGGGCAGAGGTGGGGGTGTGGTTGCTATTGACCCTCTCCCCCTCCCACTTGCCTTTTGCCATGAACATAAGCCCCTTATTACTGCCCCATGGCTTCCAGCTGGACAGTCCGTCTGAGGAATCCCTGCTGGGAGTTTATCTACAACCCTGCTTTCCCCGCCCTGTCCCCATTCCCTTAGTCCTGAAGAATGGCCCACCCTTTGTGCCTTGTAGACCCAGCTAGGCTGACTCCCCATCATGCAAGGTTGGCTCAATCTCCCCACATTCTGTCACTTCCTTCTCCTGTGGGCCTTCACCACCTTCCACAGAGCCCTTGGGGACCCAGGTAAGATCTCAGTTCCTGCCCAGAAACTGTGGGGGAGAAGCTCCAGGTGTGGGAAACGTGGGAAAGGCAGCTGTTGGAGGTACCCAGGGAGTGAGAGTTATTGCTGAGTGGGCAGTGGAGGAGAGAATGGGACCGCCTGGGGAACAGGGTCTGGATGGGCACTTGGCACAGTGGGGGTCAGGGGGTTCCTGCCACTGTGGCCCCCTCTGCTCAGCATCCTACCGGGGCCCCCACTACCTCCTGCCCCCCATCCACGAGGTCATTCACTCTCGTCGTGGCGCCACGACCACGCTGCCCTGCATCCTGGGCACCCTGCCTCCCAGCTACAAGGTGCGCTGGAGCAAAGTGGAGCCAGGGGAGCTCCGGGAAACCTCGATCCTCATCACCAACGGACTGCATGCCCGGAGCTACGGGGCTCTGGAGGGCCGAGCCAGGATGCGGAGGGGGCATCGGCTGGACGCCTCCCTGGTCATTGCGGGCGTGCGCCTGGAGGACGAGGGCCGGTACCGCTGTGAGCTCATCAACGGCATCGAGGACGAGAGCGTGGCGCTGACCCTGCGCCTGGAGGGTGAGGCCCGGCGGTTCCAGCCCCTCCTCGCCAGCGGGGGAGACGGGCGGGGGCGGATCCGGGTATCCCAGGGCTCCTCCCTCAGCATCTGCCCCGCCCTCTCGGCTCGGCGGCCCCGCCTGTTCTTCCCCTCCCACGTCTGCCGGCCCTCCCCAGGCTGTCTGCCCCCCCACAGGTGTGGTGTTTCCGTACCAGCCCAGCCGGGGCAGGTACCAGTTCAATTACTACGAGGCGAAGCAGGCGTGCGAGGAGCAGGGCGGACGCCTGGCCACCTACGCGCAGCTGTACCAGGGTGAGCGGCCCGGGCACCGCCTAGGTCCCCTCCGGGCTGTTACAGGGGCCCCAGCGGAGGCGACCTCCGGGTCTGGCTCCTGCCTGTGACGCCTCTAATCCCTCGTCTGCCGCCAGCATGGACCGAGGGGCTGGACTGGTGCAACGCGGGCTGGCTGCTCGAGGGATCCGTGCACTACCCTGTGCTTACCGCGCGTGCTCCGTGCGGCGGCCACGGTCGGCCGGGGATCCGCAGCTACGGGCCCCGCGACCGGAAGCGCGACCGCTACGACGCCTTCTGTTTCACCTCCACGCAGGCAGGTGAGGGGCGGGCGGGGCGAGCGCACGGCGCTAGGGGCGGGGTCTGGATGGTAGGGCGGAGCCTGGCCGGTGGGCGGGGTCTGGAGGCTGGGGGCGGAGCCGGGATGGGGGCGGGGTCTGGCGGGTGGGGGCGGGGTCTGGCGGATGGGGGCGAGGAAAGTGAAAGCCCTGGGGCTGGAGATCCGCCCGGTTCGGTTGTCTCTTCGAGGCCTGTCCCCCGCCTCACGCCACCCTCTCGCTCCAGCCCGCCTCCCGCAACCCCATCCGCACCCCTGCCCGCTCCTCCCACCCAGCCCGCTCTCCGCAGCCTCGCCCTCGACGGGAGCCTGAATCCCCGCTGTACCCCGCATGTCCTGCTCTCGGCCAGTCAGTGACCCGCTCCGTCCCCAGGCCACGTGTTCTTCGTGCCGGGGCGGCTGACCCTGTCCGAAGCCCAGGCGGCGTGCCGGCGGCGCGGGGCCGTGGTGGCGAAGGTCGGGCACCTGTACGCGGCCTGGAAGTTCTCGGGGCTGGACCAATGCGACGGCGGGTGGCTGGCGGACGGCAGCGTGCGCTTCCCCATCACCACGCCGCGGCCGCGCTGCGGGGGCCTCCCTGATCCCGGCGTGCGCAGCTTCGGCTTCCCGCAGCCCCAGCGGGCCAGCTACGGGACCTACTGCTACTCCGAGTAGGGCCACCGCGCCCCTTCCGCACGCGGACAGCGCCTGGGAGTCGTGGGGGGTCTCTTGCTGCCCTTTCCCTCGAGCCTCTCCTCCCGCCAGATGAAGAGCAGCCCCTCCCGACCCGCCTCCCCGGGCCTCCTGGCGGGGCGGGGCGGGTGTCGGGAGGGGAGGGGGTGGCGCCCCGGTGACGGTGATGGTGACGGGGTGTAGCTACGACCCCGGACCTGCGGATCAAGGCCCCGTGGCGGTTCGCGTGCCCCCAGCACACAACTCAGCCACTGCTAGGGGGTGGGAGGGCGCCCAGGGGACATGAACTGACCTCTGTATACAGCAGTAAAATAACGGGAAGTTTTTGTGTTGGACGAAGCTGTAGGCGCAGCGAGGAGTCGAGGGTGAAGGGGATGAGCTCGATAAAGCGTGCTGACTGCGCTCTTGAAGGGCTGCTGCCGCTTCGGGGTGAGCCTAGGGGAGGGTGGCGAGGAGAGCACCGAAAGGCGAGGGAGAGCTGCAGGCACCGAGCCCGGTACAGACGCGGAGAACCCAGGGTGTTCGCCGAGCACCACCAGGGGGCGCCACAAACTCACCTAAGATTACTTCAAATCCGCCTGAAGCGCTCCAACCCCTAGTCCTACACCCCACCACCGAACAAATAAAAAGACCTAAAAATATTTCTAAATGCGTTTGTACCCTGCCAGTCTCCCAGGAGGGTTTTCAGGATTACTATTAAAGAAGGGAAAATTATACCGTTGTTACAACTAACGGGAAATCAACCCCGTGGAAGGAGGAGGCGGCAAACACCACACCAGCACGTCCCACAGGGTTGATACTTGGGGTGATTGTGCATTTGGTTTAGCGCTCACCACCACCATGGCCGCCAGGGAAAAGGGGCAACGGGACCGGAGCACTCTTAACATCCGGCTAAAGGAAGCATACCAGTAACTCTACGTACAAACTCGAATGCCATTAATTCATATATATTATTTTTTATTTTTTACTGTTCAAGCAATCTATCTGCACCACAAAAGCCTGGTCTAGAGAATAGTAATGACTGAAGCAAAGGTCATGAACTTTCTAATGGCACTTTGTACCTGTAAACTTGCATTCCAAGACGGTTCTTGCTATGATTGTTAAAGATAATTCATCCCATAGGACTTTATATAAGGGACAGAGAATGATCAAAGAATAGCATTTTCAATAACCCTCAGATAGCAAATGAAATATTTGTGCTAGTTCTAAGCTTTGAATTTCCTGTCTTGGTCATTGGATAATACCTTCCTCCCAAGGTTGCCGTGAGCAGAATTGAGACAATGCCTGTACTGGGTAGTACATGCCTGTTACACATAAGAGGCACTCAGTAAGTGGTAACTATACTAATCAATGATTGTTATTATAACAATAATAGCAACAATAGAACAATTATTATTATTCAGGTTCTTAGCAGGTAGCTTGTAGGATTGGTTGCTGTATGGCATTATATTAGTCAGAACAAGCTAACTTATGATGTGATGACAAACAAACCCCAAATCTCAGTGGCTTAAAATAAAAGTTTCTCACTTAGGTAGGCTACATGTACATTATGGTCAACAAGGGGGTGGGTCTTCTCATTTTAGTTATTCAGGGGCCCAGGCTGATAGAGTAGTCACCATCTCAAATGCTGTAAGTCACTATGCCAGAAGTAAAAAAATAATAGCTATGGCCCAGAGGGACACCTGTCCCTTCGGTTCACAAGTCAGTTTTCCAGAACTGGTTACATGGTCCCACTCAACCACAAGGGGGCGGGAAAGAACAGTCACCTTGGCCTAGAAGCAAAATTGGAAATACTATTTGGTAGCAGCAGCAGTACCCAAGTCTACCACAAGCACCAAGGAGGGCAGTATAGATTCTGGGACACATTGGTATTCCCCCATCCCCCCATCTTATCTCAAAACCATTAACTTCATTTAGGGAATGAATTCATGTAATGAATTACAACCACAAAGACCCTTTTTTAAAAACAAGTTAACATTTACAAGTGTCAAGGATTTGGACGTGGACATATCTTTTTGTGGCCACCATTCAACTCACCCATGAACTTTTTATGTAATACCTACTGATGATCATTTTCTAGAGCCATTATTTCATTAGGAGTACAAAATGGAGATGTTCTAATTTTGTCATCCCTCCTTCACTTATTAGCTGTACTCTGTAATCATCTACTATAAAGGAAAATTTCCCTCATCAACTATTTTGTTACCCTGACATATCACCCATTCAGGAAATGTAAGCTTAATGCTTGATTCTCTTTCATTTTTCTTAGATGGCTGCTATGGACTATATTTTGTGCTTCCCTTCCCCCCAAAATTCCTATGTTAAAACCCTAATCCCCAGTGCCATTATATTTGGAGATGGGGCCTTTGGGAGGTAATTAAGCCCATTGGGTGGATCCCTCATGAGAAGAGAATCAGGAGAATGTGCTTCTCTCTGTTCTCCACAAGGTGAGAATGCAATGAGAAGCTGCTGCCTGTCAACCAGGAAGTGGGCCCTCACCACACACCAGATCTGCTGGACTCCAGAACTGTGAGAAATAAATGTTAGTTGCACCCCATCTATGGTCATTTGTTATAGCAGCCCAAACTGACTAAGACAACGGGGTTCCCTAAAAGCAAACGTTGAATTAAGATTTTTGTGCCCAGCCAGTGTGGCTCAGTGGTTGAGCATTGACCTATGAACCAGAAGGTCATGACTCGATTCCCAGTCAGGGCACATGCCTGGGTTGTGGGCTCAGACCCCAGTGTGGGGTGTGCAGGAGGCAGCCGATCAATGATTCTCTCTCATCATTGATGTTTCTATCTCTCCCCCTCTCCCTCTCTGAAATCAATAAAAATGTATACTTTTTAAAAAGACTTTGAGTACAAGTAGTTTGAGTATAAAACTTTGAGTTCAAGGTCATGCTAAGACGCACTGGTAGAGGAGTGGAGAACTGAGACCGGAAAGGGAAGGAAGCCACTGAGAGCTGTGTAATAGAGCAGGTGGAGCAACTGAGGCTCAGTCCTTTGGGGGAATTCTGGAAGACAGTGTAGAACCTGTCTCAGAGAATCCTACCCAAGGGGCAGTGGAACTAGGGTATTATTGGTGAACTTCCTGTTGGAAGATTGAGGGTTGCTTCTGGAAGCATTAACCCTCTAGTATTCCTGGCTAGCCCTGTGCTCAAACATGTTCCCACAGCCAGGAAAAAAAAAAAGCCCTCAGGCAGAGTCCCAGATGTTCACAAAGAGCCTTCTTGTAGAGATGATGCTGAAGAACATGGGTCGTATCTACAGTCCACCCTTTGCAGTGCTCAGATCCATTTGTGTCCCCATGTTAAATTCACTTTGTCCTGTCACTGATTCTTCAACATGGTGGCTGATGGCAATTTCTAAATCTTAAAAAAAAAAAAAAAGTGTCTTGCAACAGGAGGGCTCGTGGGACAAACTACAATAGCCGTTGCTGCAGCTGGTTCCAAGGAGTAATCAATATTCAACATCTCCCTCCTCTACAATTAATTCTGTTGGTCTCTGGTGTTTTCACAATGGAAAAACCCAGACCTTCATCCTTGAAGGCCTCAGCCTTTCATTGCCATGCCCTTGAGAGACCCACATTGCTGCAATTGCCTGTTCATGATTACCATTGGACATGGAATAACCAAGATCAAATGTCTTTGTCAGTATACATTTTTTTGGTCTACTGGTCAATTGGCATGAGGTCCCCAAAATGACCCAGAGGCTGCTGTTGCCTTAGGTTTAGTGGTACCCTTACTGTGACTCCTTGTAGACACATCTCCCAACCTAGGAACTAGGGCTTCTAATTCTGCAGAGCCTAAATTTACAGGAACAGGAAGCACAAATTCCCCACATGGATCATGACCCATAATTTCTAGCTGTTGGTGCCAGGCAGATTTCCTTAGCTCTCCTATCTTCTCCTCCTCCCTCCCTACCCGCACCCCCCCCCCCCCGGCTAAAAAAAAAAAAAAAATTCTAGCTCTCTGGGATGTAGCACCATACAATGGCCACTTGTTCAAAATATATACTGTATTTCGAAGGCCAGTAGCCCAACCCCAGATGATGTTTCCCCAAGCTAGTATATTTCAGAGAGGAAGGGAGAGGGAGAGAGATAGAAACATCAATGATGAGAGAGAATCATTGATTGGCTGCCTCCTGCACCACCCCCCCCCGCCCCTGCCACTGGGGATCAATCCTGCAACCGGAGTATGTGCCCTGGCCATTGGTTCATAGGTTGATGCTCAACCACTGAGCCACACCAGCTGGTCCCAAGCTGGTATTTAGATGTGTTGTGAAGAGACCATGCTAGTGGACTATCAGGCTGGCAATTTCAAGGTGATGTGGTGTATCATAGGGCCAATGGAGACTATGGTCCTACGCCCATTGTCACATTTCCTTCACTAGTAAAGTGGATCCCCTAGGTTAGAGGTGATACTATATGGGATCTCATAAGGCTAAGTCATTTCCTTTATGTCCTTGGATAATGGTGCTGCCCAAGGTGTATGGGCAGGGAAGGCAAATCCACATCCAGAATATTAATCCCAGTAAGGAGGTATTGCTCTCTCCTCCAGATTGAATGAGGTACATTGTAATCAACATGCTGCCCAGTGGCTGGTTGGGCTCCTTAAGGGATGGTACCATGCTGAAGGTTCCGTGTCTGTCTGCTGCTGACAGGCCAAACATCTAGCATTAGCAGCAGCTAGATTAGCCTTGGTGAGAGGGAGCCCTTGCTGGTGGGCCCTCACATAGCCTCCATGTCTACTGCCACAGCGACTCCATTCATGGGCCCATTGTGCAAGCCCTGGCATCCTGGAGGACAAAGGCTGGCTGTTACCCACTGGAATCCTTCTGTTCCCTCGGCTATTCAGTGTCTCCTCTGCAGTGAATGTTCTTTAATGGTACTGCCACAAGATACAATGCCCACTGCTGTCAGTCCACCCATATAGCTCTTCCCCAGACTTTCTTATCTCCAATCTTCCAGTCTTACCCTTTCCTGGCCCCTGGCCAACCAACAAAGCCATTTGCCACTGTTCAAGAGTTCATGTATATACTTCCCTCAAGTCCCCTCTCTCACGGCAAAGTGGGTGGCCAGTGTATTGCCTGAAACCCCCTGGGAGGATCCTCCCTCACCACTATCTTTCAAGGGCACCCCTAAGTGGGTCTGTTGTGTGGCAGGTTTAGCTCACATCAAAATATCAAAGTGACCCATCCAAGAAACAGGCCTAGGCTTTTTCCTCCTCTGGAGTATGACCACAGAGAAATCCCATAAAACTATAGGGTGAGCTGAGAGAGAGGCATGGGTGCAATAGAGACAAGTAATGTGGGAGCCCGGACTTCCTGCTCCCTCTGAGCATGCTCATTCCCAATCACAAATGTGCCATTTTGGAATACTGTGCTCACCCACATGTGCTCATGACTTTGTGGGTCTGAAAGTTCCCAGATCTTAATAAACCTGGAAAGTGAGACAGGGAAGGGAAGGAATCTAATAAATAATTGAATAAGTAATCCAAATAATTGAACAGGTTATGACCATGGGCAGCTGGAGACTGGAGGACTTGCCTCACAGTTCCTGCCTGGGAGCTGAGGGGGCTGGGGTTTCACCCTCTGTTACTGGTTAAGGGCTGTCTCCAGGGGCATTAATCCTCTGGTACTTCTGACT